GCAACCACTATGAAAGGCAGTTTGGCACTTCCTCAAAAAGTTGGAAATAGAAATACCTTTTGACCAAGCAATTGTAGTACTGGGAATATACCCTAAAGAAATTAGAACTCTCAAACAGATATATGCACACCCATGTTTATTGCTGCATTGTTTACAATAGCAAAGAGATGAAAGCAACCCAAGTGCCCATCTGCAAACGAATGGATAGAGAAGCTGTGGTATATTCACACAAAGGATTACTACTCAGCACTGAAAAACAATGAACTAATAAAATATTATACAAAATGGGTGACCCTGGAGGACATTATGCTGAGTGAAATATCTCAGTGACAAAAGAACAAATACTGCATAATGCCACTGTTATTAAAAAAAGACTGACTTTGGACATTAAAGGGAAACTAAGAGAAGAGGGGGTAAATAATGAGCATGCATTTGAACAGATGAAGGAAAGGTTTGTTTAAAAGGAATATATGATTAAGCATTATTTCCATGGCAACAGTCCAGAATAAGAAGTGTATAGCAAAGTGGACTGGGGTGAGGGGGAGGGAGGAAATTGTGCAACAATTGAATGCATTTTTTAAAAGAGAGAAGTGAACTGGTGGGGGCTAGGGAGGGAAATATACAACAATGAATGAATGGAATGGAATCCAAGTTTTCCGTAAACTTGCACCAAAATAATAAAAAATTATATTTTAAAAAAGAAATGCCAAGTGAGATCAACCCTTTTTATTCTCTGACTCTAGCTCTTTGCACATTTTATTATAATACTTTGCTTTGTCTTCCCAGTGTGTCCTTTGAAATCTTCTATTCAGCTCCTCAATTTCTTGATCTCTTCCCTTTACTTTGGCTTCTCAGCATTCTAGTGGAATATTCAGAGTCTCTTCTGACATTCGTCTTGGTTGTTTCTTCTTCCTCTGTCTTTGTAGTGACATTTTGCATTCTTCATGGATGATATTCTTGGTATCCTCCCACAACTCATCTGGTCTTCATTCATTAGTGTCCAAGGAGGAACAGTTGCAAGCTCACATTAGTGATTGGAATGTGGAATGAGCAAAATTGGACAGTCTTAAGAAAGAAATGAAACACATAAATATTGACATACTGAAATTGACAAACTGAAGTGGATAAACTTGGGACATTTTGAATCAAAGAGTCATATGATCTACTACACTGGAAATAGAAATGAAAAGGTCAGGAAAAATAGGGTTGCATTCATAGTAAAAAAGATCATTTCTAGATCCATCCTGAAATATAATGTTGTGAGCCACAGGATAATATCCATATGCATACAAGGAAGACCCATTAATACCATTGTCATTCAAATATATGCACCAACAATCATAGTCAAAGAGAAGGAAACAAAATTTCTACTAACTTTTTCAGTTGGAAATTGATTAAATGTGCAACCAAGATACATTAACAATACTGAGTAACTGGATTGCAAAATTTGAAACAAGAAAGAAGGCTCAGTAGTTGGAAACATAGTCTTGGTGGCAGAAATGAGGCTGGAGATAGAATTTTGTGCCATCAATGATTTATTCATTGCAAATACCTTTTATAAGAAACACAGTGACTATTGTTGTTGTTATGTGCCGTCAAGTTGCTTGTGATTCATAGCAACCCTATATACGAAAGCTCTGAATGCTGCTCTATCCTGCACTAACCTCATCATACCTGACAGACTCACCCTCATTATCCCAGTCATTGAGTCAATCCATCCCATCCAGGACCTTCCTCTTTTGTGCTGTCCCTCCACTCTTCCTAGCATGATGTTCCTAAGGACTGGTCGTTTCTTACAATATGCTCAAAGTATGTTAGATGGGGCTTCAGAATCCTTACCTCTAAGGAGCAGCCAGATTTCACCCTCTTCAGGACGAACCTGTATGCCATCCTACCAGTCCATGGTCAATTCAAGACTCTTCTCCAGCACCACAACTCAAAGGCATAGATACTTCTTCTGTCATTCTTATTCATTGTCCAGCTCTCTGATGCATATCTAGTAACTGTGAAGACCATGTCTTGGATCAGGTGCACCTTAGTCTTCCAACATCATTGCTTTTCAGTACTTTGGAGAGTTCCCTGACAGCAGATTTTTCCCAATGCAATTTGTCTTTCGATTTCCTAGCTGCTGGTACCAAGAGTGTTGATTGTGGAACCAAGTACGCTGAAGTTGTTAACAATTTTAATCTCTTCCCCTTCTATCATGATGCTGGCAATTGGCCTGACTTAAATTTGTTTTTCATTTCTCTCAATTTGAGAAATGCAGAACAAGTTCTTCCCTTTTTATTCTCCACTTTGCTTTGTCTTCTCGAGCTTCTCAAAGGACAGGGTTTCACTAGGTGATGATATATAGTTCTTGCTTTTAATTGCAACTAGGACAACGGACAGCAACAACAATCAGTTTGGGGGCATTTGTCTTGTTTTTGTTTATAACACAGTTAATTTACAGAAGCACCACACAAAAAATGTTGTCAGTTGAAATCAGTTTATCACTTTCCTCTTAAGAATTTCTCCCCTGCCCCCAACCAGAAGACCATCAGTAAGCTATAGAAAGATGAAATGGAGAACTGTTAGAGTTCCAAAATAACACTTTTAAACCTAATACCAAAGTAAGGAGCACTTTCATATGTGGTCTTATTTGGGATCGCTGACTCCTAGAAAATAAGTGAAGTGCATTTTGGACTGGAAGTAGGCTGCATGTTACATTTGACAAAATTTGTTAAAAGAATTTGAAAATTGCTGCTGGTGAGACAGCGTAGATGCCTTGGCATACTTTTGCTCTTCTCAAATTTTTTTTTGCAATAAACAAAATCCAAAATCTAAAAACCAACCCAAAGCCGCCAAGCTGGAACAACTCCCAGCTGACCCTCCATTGAGTTTCCAAGGTTGTAAATCAAACCAGAGGAGATTGCTCATTTTTCTCTTGGGGAGCTGCTGGTGGATTCGAATAGCCAGACAGGCGCCGCCTTCAGGTTAACGATGCAACGCCCTACGGTCTAGGCCATCAAATTAGACTGAGGGATAGCTGGTCCACCTTGTTGTTGTTATGTGCCGTCGAGTTGTTTGCGACTCAACAGCCCTAAACCCTGCTCTATCCTGTGCCAATCGCATTGCCTCTGACACACCCATCCCGATTACCCCAGTCACTGAATCAATCCATCTCATAGAGGGTCTTCCCCTCCTGCGCTGTCCCTCTACTCTACCCAGCATGATGTCCCTCTCCAAAGACCTGTCTCTCCTTACAACATGTCCAAAGTATGACAGACGAAGCCCCAGAATCCTTGCCTCTAAGGAGCAGCCTGGTTTAACTCTCTCTAGGATGAATCTGTTTGTTTTCTTGGCAGTCCATGGTACATTCAATACTCTTCTCCAGCACCGCAGCTCAAAAGGCGTCAATTCTCCTTCTATCCTCCCTAGTCATTGTCCAACTCTGTGATGCATAACAAGTGATTGCAAAGACCATGGCCTGTATCAGGCGCACCTTAGTGTCCAGAGAGACACCGCTGCTCTTGAGTACTTTGGAGAGGTCCCTAACCGCAGACTTTCCCATCGCAATACGGTCCACCTCAGTTCTGATAAAAAAGTCAGCCACTTGGCTGTAAAATATTCCTAGCCAGCTCACCTGCCGTTTGCAGAAATGATACAACTGGTGTTCACTCTGACAGTGGAATATGGTTAAATGAGCTGAAACGCTCACTTCGGTTGGAAAAGAACACACTCACAAGACACTGTGGAATTTTTTAAAATTTTTAAAAATTTCAATGAAAATTTAGAGAGACTTTGGATTTCCATTCATTCATTGTTGCACTTTTCTCCCCTCCCAACCCTCCCCCCTAGTACAGTACCCTCTTGAAAAAGTAAAGGAAAAATTCTTTCATCGTTTTACAACCCCTCCCCCCAGGTCCACTCCACTATGCAGCCTTCGCTCTGGACTCCTGTCATGACAAAAATACCTAATCACATATCCCTTTTAAACAGTTTTCTCCCTCATCTGTTTCAATGCAGTATACATTTTTGAACCCATCTTTCTCAGTCTCCCCCCAACTCCGAGGTCAGTCCTGTTTTACAACGACTCTGAGGAATTTTTAATCAATTGTAAGACTGATTGTTGTCAGAACACTTCCTCTCCATCATGCACGGTATTCTTCCACTTCTAGTATGTACTAGAGGACTGAGAACAAACCAGGGTTGCACTGCTATTGCAGGATATGCAGTTATTCCAAGCATTTGTGTACGGTTGGCGCACCGGGGCCAGAGAGGAACTAGCGTTCAGACTCCCTCATAGGGAACTTTGACTCGATCGGGCCCAAACATTAGTGAATGGGGTTGGGTGAGGCAGGACGGAGGAAGCCCACCCGCTAACAATCTGGATAGCTATAGGAGCAGTGCTGCCGTTCGTAACAGCTGACCCGGCGGCGACAGCGGAGCCACGGGCAGCGGCGAAACGAGCTCCGCCAGGCGCTGCGGGCGCCGGCACCAGCCCCGCCATCCCGCCGCCGCCGCGCTTGGTAACCGCAGCTGCAACCCGGCACGCGAGCGACCGCGCCCGGGCCCCACCGGCCGGGCCGCAGGGGGAAGCCCAGGGAGGCTGTAGGGGGCATCCAGCCGCGAGGCCCGGGGTCTGGGGACCGAGG